TTAGTATTATTGATCATTATTTAAAGGTTTACTTATACATACAAATAAATCATTATAACTCTTTCTTTCACAGCAAAATAAGAATTCTAAAAAATGCAGCGCATATGGGTACAGTCCACTAATTTTTTTCCCATAGGCGACAATGTTAACGTTTCTTCTCATAGCGATGTCCCTAATTTTCATTCGGTAGTGAATGACCCCTCAAATCAACTTGTCTTTCCTTGGTTAAAATCTCGAGGTGGCATGTCAGATTCGCTTTTCGGCAAAATGCGTCCGTCTGCGGGAACCTCTAAAAATGAAAGTGAAAGTAGGTAGTGGTGTTCCAATCATCGATTATAATCGAAAATCAGTCGATTGCTGACATGATCCAAGCAATCAATTGCATTTTTAGAATTCTGATTAATCGGTTTATTATTTAATTCTACAAGCCATGTAGTTTTTAACCATAATTTTCTATTCCTAGCATTGCTTTTGACTTATTTGTGTAATGTAATGTTACATATAAACAAACTCTTGTATTTCTACCCGGATAACAAAGCATGTTTCTGGGCATAGGTGTACATTTGGTTCTACAAAATGAACAAAGAAGCAACTGGATCACAACAGAAGGTCGTCATTTACCCATTCTTACCATTTACTTGTTTAAATTGATATACTTTTTACATGTCCGATTATAATCGATAATTAGTTAGTAAGAGGAACCCAATCATCGATTATGAAATTCTTACCGATTCCCATCACTAAAAGTAGGGGAATTTCAGAAATCACACTGGCGGTATAATACACAATATAATTCGGCTGATCTTCTTGATCAATTACATTTTCAAAGCTTTTTTGGTAGGAAAGATACTCCTTATCACCAAGTGTAAGGCTCAGTTAAGTACACCTGCCCAATTTTTTTTTATGCAAGTGTGCAATTTAAGGAACTTCTAATTTTTTCTGCACTACTTTCTTCTCCTACTGATTCTAAAAATAATTAGTGGGATGTACCCATATTGCTCTAATTTGAATAAATATTGCACAGTATCATCTGATTATAAATTTTTAATATTGGCACACCAGAGCTGAAATTTCATATGAGCATTTCTGATCATCCATTGTCTGTATGTAAACTTTTCACATTTTTAACTTCTTCTCAAGACCCACTGTGCCAATTTTAACTGAAGTTGCTACAAAGCTTTGGGGGAAGGGGAGTAAATACAAAGGATTGAGTAAAGGAGAGTAAAGTGTTTCAACTCCAAGGGGAGATAATTTTTAGGCAGGTAACTCATTTCAATGAGCTATCAAAGCTGTTGATTTGGAGTGGCATAGGTTAAATTAAGTACACTTTTCTCAGCTTACTTTGTATAGTATTTATATATTAATTGAAAACTACTAATATGTTTATTTATAATACTAGTATATATTGTAAAATTATCTGTTAAAAGAGCGAAACAAATTTCTTTCTTAATGTAAGTTGCAACTGCCAATTCCTGAAAAATAATGGAGCGCTTAAACAAAAATGATGTCGCAGGTGGATTTTACCATAGAATCACAGCTCTTAAGTGTGCAGTGTAGAGAGGGCTCTTAAAATATTCCAAATTATCTAAATCATGACCGCAGGGGGTTAGGTGGGGTCACGATAGGTAACAAGTAGGAAATCTGGTTAACAACAGAATGGCCAAATGTTTTTTTTATTCAGTGATCCAAAGAAAGGCCCAAGTTTGAATTACCTGGCCCACCGGCCTAATATTATTATTAACAAATGTGAGTTCTAACCTTGAAATTAATTAGCATTAACCTTTAAAGATGTATTGTCATTATTGAATTGATAACACTGACCTACACAAGGACTTGAATGCGTATCTGCATTCATTTGTAATTTGAAACAGTCTGATGTGTTAAAAGGGCAACAACTCTTTCTGTAACATATTATATATAGATGTGTGTATATGTGTATGTATATATATATATGTATGTAAATAAGGGTGGGTGTGTTTGTGTATATGTATGTATATATATGTATGTAAATATGTGTGTATGTGTATATTTTTGGTATATCTCCAGCTTTTTAGGTCACCTGAGCCAAAGGCTCGAGTGAGATTTTCTGATCACATTTTGTCCGTGTCCGTCTGCCCAGCTGCCTGTCTGTAATTTACTGTTCACATTATCAACTTCTTCTCAAGAAGCACTGGGCCAATTTTGACCAAACTTGGTATAAAGCATTCTTGGGTGAAGGGAAATTTAAATTGTAAAAATGAAGGGCCAAGTCTCGACACAAGGGGAGATAATCATGTAAAGACAAAAATAGGGTGGGGTCATTAAAAACTGAAATCTTTTTCTAAAGATCCACTTGGCCAGAAACACTGAAACTTATGTGGAAGCATTGTGGGGTACTGTAAATTTTAAATTGTTTAATTCATGATCCCCAGGGGTAGGGCAGAGCCACAATTGGGAATCTAACTTTTACAGGTACATAGAAATATACATAGGAATAATCATAAAAAAATCTTCTGATGAAGATCCACTGAAAAGCTGAAACTTTTTTGGAAGCATCCTGAGGTAGTGTACTAGATTATAAATTGTTCAAATCATGACCCAGGGGTAGGGTGGTGCCACATTAGGAAATCAAAGTCTTACATAGATTTATGAAGGAAAAATCTTCTTCTATAGAAGCACTGGGCCAGAGCTGAAAATCAAGTGGAACAATTCTGGGGTAATGTGGATTCTAAATTGTTCAGGTTGTGACCCCTAGGGGTAGGGTGTGGCCACAATAGGGAATCAAAATTATACAAAGAAATATATAGGAAATATTTTTAAAGTCTTTTTATCACGAACCACTGGGCCAAAAAAGCTGAAATTTAGGTGAAAGCATTGTGGGGTAGTTTAGATTTAGAATTGTTATTATAAGATCTTTGAAATCTGTCAGTAGGTAAGGTACGTTGCATATGTCCTTAATGTCAAGTAGATTGATGTGTTTTTTAATGCAGTTATCTGATATACATGTACATATAAATCTTTTGTTGTTGTTGTTTAATTCTATCAAAAAAATTTGTGAAACAAACTATAACTATATTCATAGAATAAACTGAAAATCCAACATAAAGAAGTAGTCATCTAATCATTGATAAAATTCAAAAGAAAATTAAAGCTGGAGACCAACACCTTGAGGTTTAAACTGCGGAAGATTCTCACATGTGGATACCGAAAGGTATTCAATAGGGTCTGGACTGTATGTACGCTAAGCTTACTTACTTTGCTTTATAATAACTTAATACCAAAGGGTAGATCAGAGCAACAAAGAGAAAACACATTTCCATTTAATAACCAGTCGTGCATCCTACCCCACAGGAACCACTGACCCTGGTGCCACACACTATATACTTTTACCAGCTGTGTAATTAATTATTTTGGAAGAGGTGCCTTTCTTCATCATGAATTTGTACTTCGATCATTGGTATAATGCCAAGAAGGAAAGGAAAAGATTTTCAAAGAATTCTTCAATTTTTACTATATATAATCATTAGAGCCCAATCCTAAATCAGGGGCCCTGAAATTCAAAAATCTGGAAGTGCCATCCTTCAGCATCATAACTAAGCACATAGTTGATTGGATTAATACCCAGTAGCAAAGAAGAAAATTTTCTATGAATTAATGCATTTGACTATTTTTCATCAATAGAGCCCTGCCGTACATGTAACATTAGAATTCTGACCCTCAGGCCAAAATAATTAACAATTTCGGAAGAGGCAGCCTTTTTCAACATAATTATGTACATGCCTAGTTTATTTAATAAGAGAAGAATATTTTTAAAGAATTATTGCATTTTCACTTAATTAATCATTAAATACTATTGTTATACCTTTAGAAATTTGTTCCTATACAATTCTATACAAAAAAAAGTCTAACATTTGTAATGTTTTGCTGAGCGGGCATAAAAAAACCGATGTTGGACCGCTGAGTGAGATGTTGGACCGCTTATGTCACAGAGTGGGCGGAGCTTAATCTCATTTTCATTCGCTGGTGTTATACAGTGATAGATCTGATGTTACATCACGGAATTAAGTACAAAATATGTGTAAATATATAAAATAAAATAAAATGAAAGGTATAACTAAACATTTATTGACAGAGTTCTCGGGCAAAATGCGTTTTGTAGAACCCTCGAACTAAACTGTCTGCCTTTGGCCTAACGGCCTCAGGCAGACAGTTTGGTTCTTGGGTCCGACAAAACGCATGTTGCCCTCGAACTCAGTCAATAAATGTATAGTATAGGCCTGCCGTAACACCAGAACCCAGTCCAAGAAGCAATGAATTTATCAATTTTTGAAAAAGCATGCAGATTTTTTCAACATAACTGTGTACTTAGTAAGTTTATTTAATGCCCAGGAGCAGATAAGAAGAATTTCAGAGAAATAATGCATTTTCACAAATTTATCTATTTTGCACTGCCCTAGCACTGGAAGCTCTGACCCTGGGGCCATAAAATTCGTAATTTTTGTAGAAGACTCGGGTGCTCAAATTACAATCATACTACCAGTCTGACTACTTGATGTCCAGGAGTAAAGAAGATTTTTAAAGATTGCATTAATTTTAGTGGTTTTGACCCCACCCTTTAGAGGGGGGGGGGGAGGCAGCTAGGGTCCATGAAATTCTCCATTTTTGTTCCCCGTTCACTCATAAGCATGCTTTTTGTCAATACTGGTTGCAAATGGTTTAGTTTTAGCTGAAAATGTTATCATGATTTTTTTTGCTTTTATATGTATGGATGACCATCAATGGATGATTTAGGATGTATATTTTATCAAGTGTATTTGGATCCTTCATTTTCTCTTATTTTCTTATAAATATAGATACAGAAATTAATTATATAGAAACAATAAATCTGCATATCTGATCTGCAAAATTTTATTCTCTCAGTGAAAATGTTTGAAGTTACAAAAGTAGAAATTGTAAGAAAACAATTATACCAATTAATTAATTTACTTGGAATTCAATTTTCGTTACAAATAGGTGTTTATTTACATTTTCTTGTATACAGTATTTTTATAAACACTTAAGGACAGATGAAACGTTCCTTAATAATATATAAAATTTTCCGAGAGTTTGTCATTGAAGTATTGCTACTTAAACATGTTTACTGTTTTTCTTATATATTCCTTTTGGGAAGAAAAATAATTTTCCAATTTCAAATAATAAAATGTTTGGATTTTTTAAAGACATTTAGAAACTTGTTTGGAAATACAGAATGTTATTAAAATTTTTAATATTTTTCATAGCTTATGAAGATATACAAAACAGATATTGAGGAACGTCTCGTCTGACCTTAAGTTTTAAGTTCGTATCTCCTACACAAGCACCTATATAGCATAATCAAAAGGATAAGATTTATACTATAGTAAATTAATCAAAGATCTTCCTCCAATATTTACATATACAGTGTATGCAAAAATATGTAAATATTCTTCTTAACTACCTTCCCTGCAGTCACGCATTTTAATGCATACACCATTTCCAATTTCTAAGGCAAAATCACGCATTTACCATTTACTCGCAATCACGCATTTTCACGCACTTTAAAAAGTTCATTTAATCTTCAATTTATTACCAAATTCCAACTATTTTATACTTGCTTGAATCTCATAAAATAAGAAAAGTTATTTTCTAATTAAAATATTATTTCAGAATATTATTTACGCTAAACTTTAGAGAAAATTGTACCCTGCTATAAAGTGCTTGCGGGGAAATGGTAAAGTAATATTTCTATGACGCGAGGACTCAATGTATGTTGCATAGCAATTCTGTAAGTTGTAAAAGAGTTAAAATCAATTTGATCCAGAGTAGCAGAAGAGTTATTGTTGGCCTTGACACTAATGGACTATCTGAAAAACAAAATTTTTTCTTATTTTTATGAACTTTGAATTTATAATATTACAATTAATCAGCACATTTTGAAATATCTTAACAAACCATTGAAAAAATGTACAATTCTGTCCTATTCTGTAGAGAGCTATATCCAGACTCAAAAAATGTGATTTTTATGTACAATAAAAAAAATTATTAAATAATGTCCTGTTCACACGACAAGTTTAATTCGCAGTAAATTAATGCGAAGTAAACTAATGCGAATCAAACAAGTGCAAATTAAATTGCGTTCACACGACAGCTAATGCGAAGTAAACTAATTCGAATTAAGTTTTAATTTGACAGTCAGGCGTGAGGTAGGCTATTATGATGTCATTTGAAAATCACGTCACCTTATGCAGAAGCAGATGCATTTTACATAATGTCACAGTGTCTGCATGGAGACATATTTTAGAGATAAAGACATTTTTTCTTAGTTTTTGACTCAAAAATAGCACAAGTTCTTAAAATTGGCCACCGACATGATGCATTTGACTTAATTTTGCCATTACACATGCCCTGAAATTTAATTCAAATTAGCTTCGCTTTACGTTCACACAGAGCTAATGCAAAGTAATTTAATGCGAAGTAACCTAATGCGAAGTAAACTAATTTGCATTAAATTCTCTGTGTGAACGCTAAGCGAAGCTAATTCACAGTAAACTTATGTTTAATTCGAATTAAACTCTCCATGTGAACAGGGCATAAGTCTCTACGAGTTGTACCACAGAGTAAAATACTGTAATACTTGTTATAAATATTTATATAATTTAAAAAAAAAAATATTGAATTTCACCTGCACTATTCAAGTTCCTTAAGTCTTGATTCTTTTTTCACCTACATCACATATGCACTTGCTGTTTGTGAAAGTTTCTGTGCTTGTTCCAACCATCATGTTAACTGCATGTACTGCAACCCAATGAATTTTAAAAATTCACCACCAACTCTAGGGGGAAGAGAATGTTAGTGAGAGAGAATATTGTAATAATGTTTTGTAAAAATTTACCCTTAATTTTCTAAATTAAACATTTTATTAGATGTATTAAAAAAAAATTAGATTCTGCTGCATGCTCATGCAGTACGATAACATCAGTTTATTAACTCTTACATGCGAAATAATACCCCATGATAAGTTTAATTTCAGTTTTAGTGAAATATCTTATTCCGAATCTTTTATATATAGTGATTATAACAATACACACTCACAACTTCTATAAAATTATTTTTAACACAAGAATTATTTTCTCTGGTTCCTTTCACCAAGCTCATTATCTAGGTTACTTACAAGAACAGGTGTGGACAGTAATCGATAAAGTGTAGTGACTGTAAGTGTTTTGTCTTTGTAGAAGTCACAATGAAATCATCAAGGAATGTTTCTTGTATCGGGTATATTGATGATATACTCACACTACCTGAGGGGTAAAAAAAAGTATTAAAAATCAATATGATCTTCGTAGCTTAAAAATATGTGCATGCAGATAAAAAAAAGGCAGAATGTCTCAGATTTACAAAAATATGTGAATAAAGTACAGCTTATTATAATTATCTCTTCTTTAGGTACATGAATTTTTATCAATCAATAGCTGCAGTATTGTTATGGTTTTATATATTGGTCATTGACCATAACCATAAATGGTTGGGAGGTTGATAAAATATACACAAATATTAGATAAAGAATGTGTCTAGAATTAGGGAGTGTAAGGTAGTTTATTGACAATGATAGACTGAAAGTGCACAAAAAATGTTGCACCCTAAATTGCACCTTTTTTTGCATTACGGGATCTGTACTATTTTAAAATTTATGGTCAAAGACCAATATATAAAACAAGAACGCTACAGATCTGCAGCTAATTAATCAGATGCTCAATAAACCAATAATCGATTTTTCTAACCCTTCCATACAGGAGTGTGACTAAAATGGGTAGCGAAACCCGGGCCGGTGTCGCATAATATTTGGTCCGCCTCGTTTAAAGGTCCGGCCGGACCTAATACGATAACATATTTGGTCCGCCTTTTATAAGAAAAGGTCCGGCCCGTATAAGAAAAGGTCCCCCTACGTTTTAAGGTCCGGGTGGTGCAAAATGTTTCAATTTCAAAACTGACAGCCGGGTTTTTGATAGTTAAGAGATAAATACTCATTCTTTCTTCATCAAATTTACAGACATAGTTTATAAGTATAGGTTTTGCCTTCGCTAAGAATCTTAAGTCCAAATGTCTTGTTTTTCGATGATTATCGCCGATTGTCCTTTTCCGGATGACTAAAATGGATAGCGAGCCCGGTGTCGCATAATATTTGGTCCGCCTCGTTTAAAGGTCCGGCCGGACCAAATACGATAACATATTTGGTCCGCCTGGCTCTATAAGAAAAGGTCCGCCCTCGGCCTTTTATACAAATTGTATGCATGTGGTTCATTCGCATATATATCTTTTTAAAATTAATTAAGGATATATAGTCGTATTAATAGCTAGTGTTTTCCCCAAGAAAATGTAGTAAACAATAAATAAGAAATCGAAATTAATACATAAATAAAGGAATGTTTAGATTTATTGATCGGGTTTCCTGTTGGGAAGATGGGACATGCTTCTTTTGTCGTTTAAATTAATACACTAATGTCAACATTATCATTAAAAAAAATATTAAGAATACAAATGTACATACATTTACCTTCACCGCCTTGTTTACTAGCAGATTAATCAGTATTGAATGAACTGATAAATGTTCGTAAGTCCAACACGAATCATTTAGTTACACTCTCTTTCCTATAAACATTATAAACGTTTGACTAATCCAATCACAAAAACTGAAGTTCACGTCTTTCAAAATATATTTCTTTATAGTATTGATAAAAGAAATCTGTCATTCTTTACGTTTAATATTGTTGTAAATAACTGGAGGGTCACTAGCTGTGAGAGGGGCTTATGTCACGGTGTACTACCCTACACCCCTTATTGTAAAAACAACAACTCTACGGATTGGGCAGTTGGGGGTTAGCCTATAATTGTTTCGTTTGAGAAAACCTAAAGTACCATATCCCCTGTGTTTTTTATAAGTTAACACTGTTTCTTACCCATTCAAAGGCTAATTTTTATATCTACTAGATCTCTGCATTTCATTTCCTGAATTTAACATTGCCGACAATTTTTGTTATTATTTCGGAATCCGACAATTTTATTTTCATCTTCGACATTATTTCTTTTTTTTCACATTTTCGGATTTTTTAGGATACCTTTACGGCAATTTAAATTTAACATTTAATATTGTTTACTAGTAGTAGTAGTGGTAGTAGAAGTAAACAATATTAAGACTAGTTAATAAGTAAAGGAAACAGTTAAGTGAAACTTCACATTCACAATACATGTACCTACATCTGTTCCAGGGTAAAATCAATTAAGTTTCTTTGACAGCTAAGAGCAAAGTCTTTTATTTGAATAAATTATCTAAAATATTTACCTTAAAGATTTTTATAACGGATGCATGAATTCTTTTTTCATTTACGAAAAAGTACTGACATGAATTTGACAAATGTCGGAGATGAAAACTTTTAAAATGTAAAAACTTAAAAATGTCGGAAATGAAAAGTTCAGAAAATTCCGGAAATGAAATGCGGCGTACTAAATATTACTCCAGGACAAGGTAAATGTGCATTAATTGGCGAAATTCAAGCTACGAAAATAAACCCTGTCCAAAATTTTCTCTTTATGACATGAATATATCTGAAATACAGAGGGCGGACCTTTTCTGGTAACTATGTTTTAAGGTCCGCCCTGTCTCTTTCTCTAGTTTTTTAAGCTACGAGAATAAACCCTGTCCAAAAAAAGTCCCTTTATGACATAAAGATATATGAAATACAGAGGGCGGGCCTTTTCTGATAACTGCGTTTTAAGGTCCGCCCTGTTCCTTTCTCTAGTTTTCAAGCTACGAAAATAAACTCTGTTTAAAATTTTCCCCTTATAATATAAAAATATCTGAAATACAGAGGGCGGTCCGCCCTGTCTATTTTTCTAGTTTTCAAGTTACGAAAATAAACCCTGTTCAAAAATTTCTCTTTATGACATGAATATACAACTTGTATCTGAAATACAGAGGGCGGACCTTTTCTGATAACTGCGTTTTAAGGTCCGCCCTGTCTCTTTCCTTACTTTTTTAAGCTACGAAAATAAACCCTGTCTTAAAATTTCCCTTCATAACAAAAAATATCTGAAATACAGAGGGCGGACCTTTTCTGATAACTGCGTTTTAAGGTCCGCCCTGTCTATTTTTCTAGTTTTTAAGCTACGAAAATAAACCCTGTCTAAAATTTTCCCTTTATAATATAAAAATATCTGAAATACAGAGGGCGGTCCGCCCTGTCTATTTTTCTAGTTTTCAAGCTACGAAAATAAACCCTGTCCAAAAATTTCTCTTTATGACATGAATATACAGTGTATCTGAAATTCAAAGGGCGGACCTTTTCTGGTAACTGCGTTTTAAGGTCCGCCCTGTCTCTTTCCTTACTTTTTTAAGCTACGAAAATAAACCCTGTCTTAAAATTTCCCTTCATAACAAAAAATATCTGAAATACAGAGGGCGGACCTTTTCTGATAACTGCGTTTTAAGGTCCGCCCTGTCTATTTTTCTAGTTTTTAAGCTACGAAAATAAACCCTGTCCAAAAAAAGTCCCTTTATGACATAAAGATATCTGAAATACAGAGGGCGGACCTTTTCTGATAACTGCGTTTTAAGGTCCGCCCTGTTCCTTTCTCTAGTTTTCAAGCTACCTAAATAAACCCTGTCCAAAAAATTTTCTTTATAATATAAAAATATCTGAAATACAGAGGGCGGACCTTTTCTGATAACTGCGTTTTAAGGTCCGCCCTGTCTATTTTTTTTTTAGTTTTCAAGCTACGAAAATAAACCCTGTCCAAAAATTTCACTTTATGACATGAAGATATATGAAATACAGAGGGCGGTCCTTATATTATACTGCGTTTAAGAACTTTAAAGTCATATAAGGCGTTTTTTTTTTTTATTAGTTCAGACTAAAAATATAAAAATGATCTTTCTATTTGTTTTGGTATTTTATATACCACTGTAAAGATAGGACCGCTGTATTTCATTTCCGGAAATTGGCATGGCATTTCCGCCATTTCTTTATTTCATTTCCGACAATTTGTCTTTTCTTTTCTGACATTTATTTCTTTTCATTTCTGGTATTTTTGCAAGGTACCTCTCCGGCAATTTAATGTTTACCAGGTACATGTATGTAGAAATGGAATTTTGAAAGAATTTATTATACACAACATTTTTAATATAAAAGTTCTGTATACATGTATATACATCTGTACATGAAGCACTAAGTCTAGTTAACAGAGTTTAATGAGCATGCAATTTTTTCATCGCATTTAATGTTCACTAAATTAAATGTCAAAGACTGCGCCGAAATTGATTTACTAAACAGTCTATAATTTATTCTTTAAAATTTTTCATTACCGGAAAGCACTAAATTCCTGAAAAATGTCGGAGATGAACACTTTAGAATGTCGAAAATGAAAGCTTAAAATGTCGGAAATAAAAAGTTTAAAATTTCAACACCAAAAAAAAAAAAAAAAAAAAAAAAAAAAAAAATCCGAAATGGAATGCAGACTGAAACATTTTATGAAAATCAAACAATTTAAATCAATCGCGTTTCATAGATATCCGAGATTTAAAACAATGGCCGATTCTTATCTACTCGGAATTTAAATATCAGACACAGTTTTAATTCCATTAGTTTGAATTTAACTAATAGAAACGTGGGGATATTTAAGTTCAATATCGGTGAATTTTTTAAATTTGAACATAAAAACCAAATCTCATGTAAATCTACGCTTAATCTTGTATTTTTGATTTTTAGTAGCTCAGATACGCCATATTTAGCTTTAAATATTCAAATAAAGATTATACATGTATGGTTATAATTATTAAAAATGTCGCAGTTTTGAAGTGTACGCCTGAATATTTGGTTCCTTGGCATAATTTATTAATTAAAAAATCAGATCTATTGATATGTAAAGCTAACACATGACCATTAGGTTCACCGACCATTCAATGACCGCGCCATCTGCCGCGGGCTCTACCTATGGGTACGGTGGGTACCTGTCAGGTAAACAAATACGTAACACACCCATTGTTTTATTAGCTATACACACCGACAGATTTCACACCTTTAATCGTACTAATTTACTAAAAGCAAATTCTAAGGAAAAACAAACACTTGCAAAATAATTGTGGCATGATTTTTAAAGAAATCATGGCCCTAAACGGCACTGCTTAAAGCTCACTATACGAGTAGATTCTTGTCTAGAGATACTAATCTTGTATGTTGTACACAAAATAAAACACAACAAGGTTAATCCTTCTTTCATCATATA